GTTTCCGCGAGATTTCTCATCGTACACGGGGCTTCGAGGCCGCCGATCGCGGCAATACAAGACACGTGATCGACACGTTCGATCGCGAAACAATGCAGAGATCGATATCAGCTCGAGTCTCTCGAGACGAGATTCCCAATTAATCTACGCATATCGACGTGTTTTCGACGCTTTTCAAGCCCCGTAATCATAATAAATACAGATTACGAATTAACTCTTTCGTCATCACCGAAAGTCGTACCTGACAAATTTGGGAAACCCAATGCTTCGAGACGCGTTCTATCTACAGACTTCTATATAGACGAAAGTCCCTTATTATAAGAAAGGATCCTAATATAGGATAGCAGGATTTCTTCATCCGTTGTTCCACCATGAATTTATTGTTCTCGGAGTAAAATCTGTTTAGTGGAAAATTGATTGTTAGATCGTGTAATTGTTGCGAAAATGATTTGTCATTGAATTTGAACGTTGAAAACCTACTATCTCACTTTAGAATCCTATCTCATAACAGAGGACACTCCTCCACTACTAAACCGTGCTACCTTTGAGCTGTGAGGCAAAAGTGAGGCAAGAGCTCCGCCATGTCTCATTAGGTAAAAGTAGTACTATGTGTGCATCGGTGTGTCACTGACAGACTACTTTATTTACCTAACAAGACATGGCGGAGCTCTTGCCTCACTTTTCAGCTCAAAAGCAGAGGTGGTACACTAGTGGTACACAGAAGTCTGTGGTTCTATCACCGCGAAAACATATCGACGAAAAGCTTAGAAACAAGAGATCCTTCGGCCACGAAAGGGTTAAACCCGAGGGGGAAATCGCTGAGGGCATTGCGGTGTACAGATTCGCGGCATTACTGGGCATTACTAGGTATTTTTGGGGCATTCTGGGACATTAGGCCTTGCTGGGGCGTTATAAAGGTAAAATAAGATAAGATAAAACAACATAAATAAGATATAATAAGGTAAAGCAATGCCCACTGGGCATTAGTGGGCATTGGTGTATGTACAACATTTCGGTCAGCGGTTTTCCCCCTCGGTTAAACCCCATGCAATCTTCCTCCCTGGAATGCCCGGGTATACATCCTCGTTTCGACCGGGGCGGACGTAACGTGCAGTCGGGAGGAGCCCGCAGCTTCTCCTTGTCGACGGTAGAACCGATTGTCATCGATTTCCGCAGATCGCCGACGTACCGGTGGAGGAGAATCGTTTGGGATAACGCGCCGAGCATCGCCGACGATCCGTCGACGATCCCGGTGGGGTCTCTCCCTCTCTCTCTCTCCATCCACCGTGCCGAGATTCGGGCAGAAGTGGCCGGTGATATAGCACGTGACTCGGGGCGCCCGGCCGAAATAAAACGCGCACGCGGCGTTTTTCCCCCCGAGGACGACGCTCGTCGCCGCGGTCGCGCGCCTCCTCGATCCCGTTCGCCGCGAAACATGATATCGAGTTTGAAGCCGAATCGAAAAGTGAGAATTGAAACGGGACGCGCGACGAAATTGTACACTCGAGAGAAAACCAAGAGAAACTCGTCTTGCAGGCCTGAAAACGAATTTTCTCAAGGTACTACGCTATTTTGCCTCGAAAAGGGAGTCCCTCGAGGTAAATTCTCATTGTGACAAAAATTTTTAAGCAATTTCATTTGACGCAGGCAGCAAGGGATACATCGTTAACTCGATTTCGGTCAAAATGTCACGTGTCCCCTTTCCGTTCGGTTCAACTTGAACTTGAATTTTATACAAACTTGGTTAACTGACCCGGCAAGCCCGCCGCTCATGAACGTATCAAAATATGATGAATACATCTCCGCGCCTTTCACCACGGATTCGTTCGTTATATTTTTTATGCGGCAGCCACGGTATCGTCCTCCTTCCAACTTGAGATTGACGCACTCGAGTATCACGCGGCCTGTTTCTTTTTTAACGAGAGATGATAGAAGACGCGGACGAACGAATAAATAAATAAATAAATAAATAAATAAAGCATACACGCGGCTGTAAAGACGCCATTGCAATGTTGTGATTACGTCGAATCGAGTCATCGTCGTTCTTTCGCGGCGAGCAGTTCGCCTTTTACGTCGTGTTATCGAGGCGCTCGTCGTGACGTACGCGGGGAGCGTTTTCACCGTGAATTCGGCGCGTTTTCGAACCCTCCCCGAGCACCGCGGCGCGACGCGCGACGCGCGTTGCATGTAAATCGGGATTATCTCCTCCTGGACGGAGCTAAAAAGAGACGAAGCCGCCGAAATCCCAGTTAACTCGAATTTAATATTTATAGAAACGGGCCCCATATCGCGCGCGTATCGCGCGATAAATCGCGATCGGAGCCTCGCGCGAGTGACACCGGTTGCAACGCTCGTTGCAACGTTCAGGACGGCGAAGGAAAGCGGTGACGGCCGGGGGGGGGGGGAGGGGGGAGGAGGAGGAGAGAGACGGAGCGAGAAAACGCTATCTCCCAGGCGTAAAAGCGCGATCTCACGCCGCGGTGACGCGCGGCTCTTCGTCACCGATCGGCTCGCCGAAGTGGAAATGAATCATGCACCTTCCAGGAAGCGACAGCGAGGCCGTCGCAGGATCGTCGCGGTCGTCGTCGCCGCGGAATCCGCGCACGAGGGCCCCCCCCCCCTCCCAAGTACGTCCGTCCGAAACGGAGTCGGGCGAGCGGCGCGCGGGACCGAGGCGGGGCGGGAGAGGACCGGACGAAGCGAGGCGGAACGAGACGAGATGACGGAGAGGACGATGCGGCGGCGGCGGCGGCGACTCGCGAGATCTCTTCCGAGCGCCGCCGTTGCGAGAAAGGAGGCGTATCTCGAAGCCGGGCAGCAATGGCCGACCGGCGCGTCTGCTGCGGCCATAACCACAAAAAGGCCGTCGTCGGCCGGCGGGCCGGGTCCCTCGGGCCGCGGCGGGACCTCGCCCGTCGCGCGGACCGCGGCGCGGCGCGGCGCGGTCTCGCCGTCGCGACGCTCGCGGACGTTGCCTCTCGTCGGAGCGTTAATACGCGCGGATGCGGATACGCGTGCGAAAACGGCAGCGGCGGCGGCGGCGGCGGCGGCGGTGGCTGCGGTGACGATGACGGCGGCGGCGGCCACCACCGCCGCCGCCGCCACGTACGGATATTTACCATTTTCCGTAGCGAGCGATGTAGCCGGTGGGCAGAGTCACGTGAACGAGCACTTTAACCGACACTTTCCCGGAGTATCTCGGTCGTGGTGGAACTGAATAGCGGCGCAGTGTCCGGTCGAAGGGATCGCGCGGCTGGCTCACGGGCGAACGGGAAGGGAGGCTCCTCTCTCGAAACCAGCCGGCTCTCTTTCTCTCTCTCTCTCTCTCTCTCTACACGAATCCTGTATCCCTACGCCTGCGCGCGCAGCGCCGCCACGGCCGGCCGCTCCGATTGGCCCGCGCCGGCCTGCCCGCGCCCCGTCAAGCGTCGTCAAAAATTCGCGGTTGCGCGCCGCGCGACACAATAGGCGCGCGCGAGACGGAAAAATCCCGCGAATTGTCCTCGAATTCTACGGTATTCGGGCACGGGGGGACCGTGCCCGGCCGAACCAACCAACGTGTGTCGCGCGTTGACGATCGCGGCGAGAGTGCCGCGTGCCGGGCGCGCGAAGCGAAACGCCGGCGGGTGCGAAGCGAGAACGCGCGACGGGTTATGAATTGGGTCGGGATTGTCCGAGGGATGCGACGACGGCGCATATATCCCGATCCCCGACATGCACGTGTGTACGCGAGATCGATTCGCGGACACGCGTTTCGGGCGCAATCAGTCATCGACGCGGGACGTGCCGGTCGCGCGGCCCAATCGCCGCCAGGGACGTGGGGAAATTGCCTTATATGGGCAGCCGGCGTGCGTACGATCTGTCCGGCGCACACGCGTCGCGACTGCGCGCCGCGTCCCCCTCGAGACGTACCGAAAGGGACACGCGACGTGCCGCGATTGCCGGTAAAACAGGGCCAGGGGCGTATCGGGACTCTCGACGCTCCCGGCGCAGGTCTTCGATCTACATTCTGAGTCTTCTTTCATCTTGAACTTCGGTTAATTAGTTCTGGTTTCACCAACGTCGCTTAACTTTAAGCTTGTTAAAGACGTCTTAAAGATGTCTTTTAGACATGCATGTTATCTGGGTAGTTACAGTTCAATTCGTTCTCGGTTTCTTTCCAACTGTTACTTTAGAAATAGACAAACACGAATTAAACTAAGGTTTAAGTTAAGCGACGTTTGGCGAAACCGGGCCTTACGTCCATTTCTACCAACGCAATCCCTGTTTAACTAAGGCCCGGTTTCACCAACGTCGTTCAACTTGCTCTTTGATTCTTTCCAACTGTTACTTTAGAAAGAGACAAATGTGAAATAAACTAAGCTTTACGTTAAGCGACGTTTGGTGAAACCGGGCCTTATGCCCATTTCTACCAATGCAATCCGTTTAGCTAAAGTTTTAACTTAAGGTCCGGTTTCACCGATGTTATTTAACTTTGAGCTTAGCTTAATTCGTTGTCCCTTTTCAATTGTTACTTTAGAAAGAGACAAACATGAATTAAACTAAGGTTTACGTTAAGCGACGTTTGGTAAAACCGGGCCTTATGCCCATTTCTACCAATGCAATCCCTGTTTAACTTAAGGTCCGGTTTCAACGACATTATTTAACTCTAAGCTTAGCTTAATTCGCTCTTTGTCTCTTTTCAACTTTTCAATTAAAGTTAAGCAACGTTTGGTGAAACCGGGCCTAAGGCCGGTCGCTTAACTTTAATTTTAGTTTAATTCATGTTTGCCTCTTTCTAAAGTAACAGTTGAAAAGAGGCGAAGAATTAAGCTAAGCTTAAAGTTAAACAACGTTGGTGAAATCGAGCCCAAATTTTTATCTTTTTCCAATTCCTGAGACTAGAAAAAGATAAAGAAATAAGTTAAACCGAGATTAAAGTTAATCTACATTGATAGAAATGGGCATTACTCGACGATTGATCTCAAGTAGTGCCTAATGCAGATACTAACGCGGATATACAATTGTTAATTTTTGATTTAATATATGTAGGAAAAGTTATGTGTAAATTATGTTACATAGAATAAAAAGATTAGAGACTACTGAATCAGAGAGAGAATAGAAAGAGCACATGTAACATTTCGGCTGAAATTGAGTTAACGATGAATCTTTGCTCCGGGGCTCGATCATGAATCTTTTCGCCTAGTGTGAACTCGTGAAAAACTTTCTTAAAGATATTAATATTCGTCAATGAAATCGTTCACTTATCACAAGTTTACACTATAGGAAAAGATTCATGATTGAGCCCCTGGCATACAATCAAAATGCTTAAGGAACGTTTGACAAATTTTTTCTCAGGAGCCTCGTCTCTTCAGAGCTCTTTCCCCAAGAATACGATCTAGTTACATGTATCTTTTCTGTTCTGATACAATTAGAAACTTTGCTTTAAGCGAGTCCGTTGATCGAATTAGTCGCAGATAGTCGGAACTTCGCAGCCGCCTTTAGATTCTCCGGTGAAGGGTGGACTTCGTGCAATGAAAAGCATAAAGACAATGCTCAATACAGAAATTATATGCGAAAAATGCCATAACAAAATACAGAATTTTCTAACAAATATGGTAATGCACGATCCGAAAAAATATGACATCTAGTAAAATAAATACGAAGTGTGTCCTAATAGAAGAAACACCCCACGTCCGCACACGCATACACATGTACACGTGTATATTATACATATTTCTTTAAATACTGTTAGCAGTGCGTTATATATAGTTTACAATATCGTTATCCTTTGTACATGTAAGATTGGCATTACATTTTTATTACAAAAAGATCAATGTATCTTGAGCAGAATAGTACATTTAAAAATTTGCAATAAATGATATAATTGCCAGTAATTAAAAGTTATTATACATGTTCTTTCCAAGAAAAAAAAAACATGTATTATTTATAATAATAGAGCAAACACACGTTGTACAATGATAAAAAGCGATAGGATATTCCACAAACATCTTATTGTATGCATATGTGTGGCGTTATGTATTTTCAAATATTACTAGAAAATTATATATATAATTATTATGTAGTATATATATATAATTTGCTATATGTATGAGTAATTATATGTATATAATATATACGAACTTATAATTAATAATCTTGTCCATTCCTTATCGCTTCTGAGTATTATAAATATAAATATTACATCTATTCCAGCAGTCAGCGTGCTAATCCTTCACGCGTACGTTTCATACAAACGATATATTACACAAATATAAAGATTGCTTTCTATAGTTTTACAATACTTCGCAACGGCTACACAATTATGATTTCCTGAAGATACTTTCTAGGTCAGAAAAATAATAGCTTATTAAATGATAAGAAGAATTCCAAAGTTTCTCGTGTGTGCTTAAACACGACGCATCCCTAAATACACGTATGTACAATTTCGACAAAAGAAATGTAAAGACAATGTAGATGCCTTGTTACAACAATATAGTACGATGCAACATTCGTTTTGTACATATTTTCTATATGTCACAATCATAAATACAATTATAAAATCTTAATATACCTCATACTTTGACACAATCTTTTTCGGCGATATTAAAGTAATAAAAAAATAAGTAAGCGCGATAGGCAGTATATTAACCTATTCTTAAATAGTATTAGTTACTTAATTTTCGAGCGAGAAAATCGGTACTGTTAAAAATACTTTCTACCACTATTGTAATTAATATTCAGGATCTGAAACGATAAAAATGTGATAACTCAAAAACATTCAAATATCTATGTACAGTTTCGCTTTTCCTCAATAGAAAATATTGAAAGTATATGGGCAGAGCAGGCAGTACGATAAACTGAGAGACGTTAAGATGACAACATACTGTACAACGTACATCAATGAATTACAGCGCTATAACATACAGAATATGTGCAATTTAAAGATATAAGTACGGTCATGATCAGAAAGCTTGTCCGACGTTTTACAATAAGTTTTCGGAATATACGTACGTATCATTGCATAGATATTCGTACATGTCATTCCTTTGCTCTAATAATGCGTCACTGCATATATCCGTGAACAAAAGCTATTATCTCTCGCATGGTAGACCGTATTTTCGAAATTTATCATGAAACGTCGAACAATCTATCAGACCACGACTTTACCCAACTGATATTACTATAAAATTATATACTAGCTAATTATACGTGCCCTATTTTCTAACAAAATGGCCTTTTACCAAGATTTCTATTCTATCATGTACAACACACTCTTATGCCATTTAGTGTAAGAATTAATTCTTATATAAACGATATTTCTATCCGTTTAGTTATTTGGCAAATTACCTCATCATACAAACTTCGGTGTCTCTCTTTCCTTCCTTTCTCTCTTGTCAATTTAAGTATGAGAAATACGCACGTCCTATGGATGTATGGTGTTGGAAGATGCGTGATAAAACGTAAGCTTATATTTTCCCACAGTACCTGATAATATACTCCTTAAGTACCGTCATTATCAAACAATTGTTCTACGTACATCGCAATCATTGTTATGTGTAATTATATTTTTCGCCCGGCAATGGCAACGTCAATATATGGAGTACACAATAGGAACCGCTTCGTTGAAATTGTTTTAGTCGAAACCATCTTTAATACGTTGAGTATCATGATTCTCTTTACATCAGAGTGGCGAATAAATAAATTTCGCATACAGCAATAATCCTCGATACATCGTACACAAAGTCTGTATGTAGTTGTACAACTATATGCGGACGTAGTTTGTTAATCTGATCATTGCGAAATTCCAAGAACCATCAAGTATCATATAGTATGTTTCGTTAATATTCCTTTATTTATCATGTAACTGCAGTACAATACAGTTAATCCTTCGTGTATAGAGTCAGTAAATCGCCACCACTCAACGTATTAAACAGATGGATCTACCTAGTCATAACATTGTAAGTATTATAAATAACCTAAACTCGATCAATCTCGTCAGTCAATCGTAACATACCAAGAACATCACAAGAATCTGTGTTCTTGTCGTTAAACAGAATATTCGATAGACAAGATGATATCTTTAATTACTACCTCATAGAGACAACCTCGATAAGTTAGCCTTATCATATCTTTACGATATTTACGATGAATACACTGTTAGATAAGACCACGTTTCTTCTTATAATCTTCTAGATTTAATGACCGTCGAGGTCCCGTATCCTTGATGTTATTAATGGGCTTCGGTAAAACGCTAACGGGATTGTCTGGAAACAAAATTATATAAATTACAAATATGTGAGAATGTGAGCTTCATCGTCTCATTTCGTTTTGTTGATCGCCAGGCAAAGATTCACAATTACGATACTTGTTGGCAAAACTTACTTGGGATAGGAACTTCCAAGTCGATCGTTATGTCGAAGTCATGTGCGTTAAATAAGTCTTCCGTGCTTTGCTTCTTCTTAGATTCCTGTCCGTTCTCTTTATCAGCGGCCGACACGGAATCTCCAGCCGGATGGGGGTTCGACTTATCGTTTACTGGAATTGTCGCTACCACTTCAGACTCATCCTCCGGCTTGTACACCATCCTCGGCTTGGTACTTCGCCTGGTGAACGGGTCATCGACCTTCTTACCTTTATTAGCCTTCAGTTCTTCCTGTTGTAATAGAGTTGGTTAATCGAATTGAAATGTCATAACACACAGTATATTCGAAACATTACCATTATGGCCTTCTCAGCTTCCTCCACATTTTTCTTCCTGTTGCGATCGTTTATGTACGATATACTGGAAATGGTCGCCGTACGCATCTTATCCAGTTCCGACGCGCGCTCCTCTAATTCACTCAATTCTTGATTAAGTCGACTAGCCATCTCGTCATCTCCTCTGCAGTTAGCCGCGTCGCGGTCCCTCATCAACTGCGCTTTCTTCATTGCGTAGTTGTAGGGGGTCTGTTTGAATCGCTCCTTCTCGCGTACTATCTTCTCTATGTCCTCCTCCTTGAATTCGTACACCAACGCCTCCTTGATGTCCTTCAATTTCTGCTCCATCTCGTCAAACGTGGGCATCGATATTCCTTGCAGCGCGCAGGTCTCCTTCCACTTGAAGAACTCGGAATCCGTGAACTCCTGATTCGAGACAAACTCCAACCTGAATATACGCTCTTGCACACCGTGGCGCAACTTCAGACCCTTATTCGTCCTCGTGCCACCGAGCTGATAAATCTTCACCGTTTCGCACACACCGCTTATCTCAGCCACTCTGTAGACGGGTTTACCGTTGTTATTGCCGATTCCTATTCTAACGAAGCATCCTTGCACCACTCTGTCGAAGAAGGGTAGATGGACGAATCTCTCCATCTTGTGACGGGACAGTCGAATCTTGTTTAGGTCGTCTTTAGTACTGATGTACACTGGCTTCTTGGGCCTAGCTTTGTTACTGGTAATCGATCTAAAATAATTGAGACATTGTATATAACCGAGGAAAAGGGAGATACACGAAAGATACCAGTGGCGTAAACAAAAAAAAACCCTAAAAACTTGCTTTTTATCGTTGTCGGAATCCGAATCACGGCTCTCACTCGAGGACGATCTGCGTTGGGACGTTGGTTTTGCGACGTCATCTTCTTCCCCACTGTCCGACGATCCACTGTCGTCCGAGTATATATCGGATGCTTTAAGCTTCGTTTTGTTCGCACCGCCTTTATGGTCGTCATCCAATTCCTCTTCCTCCATGTCTTTTGATTGTTGCTGCTGCTGCTCTATCCTCTGCTTCTCTTTCTCCTCTGTCGAAAGAATTGACGTTAAAAATGTTTTTTTGTGACGCGCAAAAAAGGCGGCAACACGCGGAATACCCTTAGAACATATATACCTGGAAGGGAAAGGCCTTTGTTTCCCAGCTGCCGAAACTGTCCAAAACATGAGATAGAGAATATATTCCCCTTTTGGGGAAAAAAGGTTTATGCGCGGTGTCATCGGCGTGGTCCGAACTGTACATCCGCAGATTTACCTTTGCCCATCTCGAGAACAAGGAAGGAGATATATTCTCTATCTCATGTTTTGGACAGATCCGGCATCACTATTCCCCTTCCAGGTATATATGTTCTAAAGGAATACCCTACCTCGTTCCTTCTTCTCTTCGCGTCTGGCTTTGAGCAACGACATGGCGTGGAACTTCTTATCCTGCTTCTCCTCTATCGTCTTCTTGCGATCTTTACTTCTCTCCTTGGGATCCGGGGCTCGATCTATCTTCTGCTTCTCCTCAACACCCTTCTCCTTCTTCTTCGACTCCTTTTGCTTCTTCAACTCTTGTTTCTTGGCCATTCGCAGCTTCTTGTTAATCTCAAATCTCTTCTTATTAGTCTCGCGTTGCTCGATTCGCTTGAAAATCTCCTGTTCGCGCTCTTTCTCGGTCATTTGCGCGAGTCTAGCCTGATCCTCCGCATCCCCCATAAGTTTGTCATCGTAGCCATCGTTGAATTCTTCCTGGCTTGAACTAGAAACACTTGCGTCTGAATCCGACACCTCACCTGCGTCGCAATAAGATGATTGTTATTATACCAGAAAACAAAAAGAGATCCTGTTTGTATATGTAGATTAAAAAATGGTGAAGCACAGTGTATCTCCCATAGACCGCACACTGGACCGTGCATCCATGGTGGAGGGTGATGTCCAACTTGTGGAAGAAGGATAGACTCTTGCAATGCACCTCTGCTCAAGAGAGATAGGCTTCTCTGTTGCATTGCAAAGGACTATCTCTCGCCACAACTTGGCAACAGCCAAAACAATAGGACAAAATGAAAATGTACGGTCTGTGGTCCGTGATATTTCCTACGCACCTTCTTCTGGTTCCGAGTGCTGTTTGGCCGGCTCTTTCTCACTGGCGCTGTCCTCCGAGCTGGACTTTGTCATCTTCCGCTTGCTCCTCTTCGATGGCGCTTTTTTCTTCTTCGTTTTCCCAGATTTGTTATTCCAGTTATCATCGGAATCCGATAAATCTGACTCGTGCTTGACGTCCTTCTTGACAGATCCGTTATCCTCATTTGACTGAGAATCATCTTGCGACTTTCCTTTCTTCTTCTTTGCCAGTGACAACAGATCCTGATAACGTTTGGTTAAAAGAAATACGCTGGCTATGAATTGTTAACGACGAAATTGTGGGAGAAGCAGCAGTTTGAGTAAAGTTTCACAAGCTTTGACAAATTGTGGCGCATCGAGTCTGTTTGTTTTTTAACTCAACTGACTGCACTAGTTCGGAGTTTATCTTCCTTCCTCCACATTGAAAAGCGAAAGCTAAACTCTGAACTAGTGCAGTCGGTTCAGCTGTAAGAAACAGACCTATTATAAGTCGCTTGTATTATATTTTGTATTTTATATTTTACACACAATCTCTGTTTCTTGTAGTTGCACATTCTCCACGTTCGAAATAAAGTACAACCATCGCTTACGTTGCTTTCCATTCACTGACACAAGTATTATTTTATCCTTGTTGTTTGCTGGATGTTGAACAGACAGATTGACACTTGTGTCGCTAAATGGAAAGCATTATGTATTCGTTGTATATTCGGAGTCATTTTGAACCTGTCACAAACTTTGCTAACTGGACAACAAATGATCTCTCCTCAATATTTCCTGACTTTGTTGCTATAATGTGACGTTGAGGGATAAACCACCGAGAGCATTGTAGTGTACAGATTTGTGGCATTACTGGATATTACGAGGCATTTTTTGAGCATTAGGCCTTGCTGGGGCCTAAACATTTTATGAAGATAAGACAAGATAATAAAGTAATGCCCACCGGGCATTAGCAGGCATGATTGTACATTATCTTGGTCAACGGTTTACCCCACGTATGACATGGTTTCCAAAATTTGACTTTTTTAAAACTACACTCTACAACAAACTGCGTTACACGTGGATCACTCTTGACTCGAGCAGATTTGGCATAAAATTAATTTCAACGGTCTACGAGTAATCAAGTATTAGGAAGAAAAACCCTCGGGGTCTCGAAAAGAAAGGAGGGCTGAAAAGAACGGATATTGCTTCACCTACGAGCAATCGCTCGCAGTTCACACGCAATTTAATGAAACATTTACAGATGAATTTACGTGCGTTCGTGTGAATTTTCGTTGGGTATGCCGTAAGTCGCGCGAAGTCGCACCGAAAACGTACTCAAGATGCAGTTTGCGCGATAAAGATCAGAGACGGATTCGAGTATCCGCGGTACGGCGGCGAGACGCGGGAGCGAACGGCGCGGGGCATTTTTGCGCCCCGGAGGTTAGACTATTTACATTGTCTAGGTCCGAGCCGCTCTCCGACGCGCTCCCGCTGTCGGAGTCCACGAGCGTGTGGCTGTGCTTCCTCTTCGGCATCCTGGCGGCGCGCGTCCGTCGATGGGGACCGTCAACGGCGGGACGTCACCGTGCCTCACGCGACGCGGGCACAGGGAATCCGGCCGAGGTCGATTTTCAGCAGCAGCGAAGGACGAGGAAACAGAAACGAAACAGAAACCACCGCCGCTACGTCGGGTCTCGGGACGAGGCCGCGGGACACGGGCAGATGCAGGATGCAGGCTGTGCGCGTTGCGAGATGGAGGGACGAGTCTCGACTCCCGAAGTGCATGCGCGGCAGCGCGAGCGCTAGCAGACGGCACAGACGCTCTACGCGCTCTGGAGTTTGATCATGAATCTTTATCCTCCAGCGTAAAGTCGCGAAAAATGGAAAATTTTACTGAATATTGAGCTCGTTAATGAAATTTTTCGCTCTTCACGAGTTGACGCTAGAGGAAAAGGGATTCATGATCGAGTCCCTTGCACATGGGACGCGGAAACGCTCAGCCGCAGGTAGCCAATGAGTTTACCGCTTTCTGTAGGAGCGACGAAATGATTGGCGGTAGCGTCGCTTCCTGCAGCGCGGCAAACGTTTCCGGCGTGCAAAGCATGCGGCGTATATAAGGGCTCGATTCTTGAATTTATTCGAAGGAGAAACGTATGCGAAAATTCTGCTCTGAGAGAAAAGTTGCAAGTCGATTGATTAAGAGCCATGCGGATAGCAAATTAATTTGCAACTTTTCTGTAAGAGCAGAATTTTCGCATACGTTTCCTCCATGGAGAATGTATAAGGAGACCGAACTGCCCGCAATCAGAGTGGGCCGATGCCCGATAATCCAATGAGAGAACAGCATTTGTGGAAAAGTAACAGACTTTCGGTTGTACGCAGTACGCTCATTGGGTGGCACGACGCGCGACGCGCTTAGTGGTAACGCAGCCTTAATCGATCAATTAAAGCCCGTATCAGACTACGGATTGAGATTGAGATTAGATTGAAATTTTACCAATAAGAGTAAAGCCCGTATCAGACTATGGATTGAGATTGGGGTTAAATTTCAATCTAATCCCAATCCCAATCCGTAGTCTGAAGTGGTCTGAAGCCCGTATCTTGTGTACGTATTGTGTATATTCTTCTTGTGTACGTAATTGTGTTAAAAAGTGTAAAATAATTGGAAAGTACCCACTAGCTGCTTTAGTACCAAATGTAACTTCTTATTTTTATTAATATGTATTAAATAAATGTGAATATGCCCAAAATAAGCAGATAAATTAATGAAAAATTATGTATGTACTATTTTTCAAATAATTGTTGAAAATCGATTATGCGATTATTTTCCGATTATTTTTTATAATAATCGATTTTTTAAAATTGATTATTCTCATAATCGATTAATTTTAATTTATGCTTACACTGTACATATAATACAGATAAATTTACACATAATTACGGCATAGAATCTGTGCTCTATGTCCTCGTACTCAAAAATATGCTGAATTTCATTATGGCATCTATTTTAGGTTCGAATACTATTTCATCTTCGGCGGACCAATCAACGGTATCTGCAGCTAAAAATAACAAAAGAATATATAAGGATACATTATTGTATATGTATAAAGACTATATTTGCGAGTAGTACATTATGACGAATTCGACGTCAGATAAAGAAAAAAAAATAAAGTATACATCAAAATAGTAGAAGTTGTGAATAACATAATCTAAGATTCTGCGTAACATTTGGTAAAATTGAATTGTATTACCGTACAAAATTGCAAAATAAATGTATAAATTGTGCAAGAAAGTAAATTATCCTAAAGTGATTAAAAGACGAAAATATTATAGAGATATTATGGCATTTTAAAATTAGCATCTATTTACTTGGTCAAGGAAAATGGAAATTGAATTTTTAGAATATTTTGAGAGCATCATACAATGTACAGCATGCGATGATTAATACAGAGAATGTAACCATGCCACCGATGATGCAAATAATAATTAACAACTATCAAGGAATTCAAAAGTTTTCGATCTTAAACCAACGGTACACGACACTATTTTTTCTATTGGATTGCTTACGAGAACCAGTCAGGATTCAGCTTTAAGTCACCCGATCTAAAACTCTGCAACCTTGAGCCCGTATCAGACTACGGATTGAGATTGAGATTAGATTGAACCTTGACCAATTAGAGTTCAAGTTACTAAACTTGAGATTAGTAAACTTTACTGTGACTGGTCAAATTTCAATCTAATCTCAATCTCAATCCGTAGTCCGATACGGGCTTTATTGATTCTCGTAAGCAATCCAATAGGAAAAATAGTATCGTGTACCGTTGGCTTTAGTAATAATAATTACGTACTTAGATCACTGATGTTAATTTCAGGCGGTGGAGAGAACATAGTAACTCGTGTTCTCTTCAAGAGCTTACCCTCCAAACATCCCAATTTGATTAGCATCTACAAAAATTGCGTTCATTAATAAAGAGCTTTCTGCATTAGACAATAACATAAAAAAAGAGAAACAATAGTTGTCGTGGAAATTATGTAGTAATTCCATTTATCTCCAATATGAGACCTAGTAAAGTATCTTTGATAGAAAGAAGCCCAGAATACTGATTTATCAATTTCCAGACAATCGATAAAACGCACCTCGAGCAATTCGCGCGTGTGAAAGGGTTGTAGGGAAGCGACGAATCTGCTTTGCACTTTTGACATCGTGAGCCCAGGATGGAGCAAGCAGTAACTCAGAACCGCGCCTAACATTCGATCTAAAACTTTGCGATTCAGCACGCCGTCTATACTTATCCACGGCTTTATCAGGACTTTTATTTCCTCGGAATTTCTGAAAGGAAACAGTTGATTGGTATTATTTTCGAGTGGTACAGACTCCTGAGAATTTTTCTTGCTCGTTCTTTCTTGATACACTACGAGAAATCTATTTGCTGCGCAGATTTGTACACGTCCTTTTGTGGAAGTAACCGCATCTTTTGCTTATGAGTCCTTTTCCTTGCATGTGAACTGCTCTCCTCGTTGATCTCGCTATCTTTCTTCATGTCATCTTCCTCATTATTTAAGTCATTGTCCGCCTTTTTGCTGTTTTCCTCTTTGACTTCTTGGTTGGTTTCCGATGATGTCGATGGTACCGCACTATTTGTTTCACCTACCGGATATTTATTTTAATAAGTATTGATCTTTAAAGACAAAATGCTACAAGATAACTTAATCTATTTAACAATTCAACAAATTTGGAGACTGATTTGTATTGTCACTCTAGACTTAGTAATACGAGAAAAACTGATAGTGAAGCATAAAACATAAGTGATATAAAAATACTTTTATAAATCTCTCAACTTAAAAAACATTTCAAACGGGATATACAGGGTAGGCCATTTTAATCTACGCACTGAAATTTCTCAAAATCCATAGGTTTAAGACAAAAATGTTTCAGACAAAAGTTATATGGTTTCGAGGGGGCCATAATAGGGTACCATTGGTTTGACCTCGAAGAGTTATTTGAAGGTCACATGAAGGTCACGTTAAATTTTTTAAATGGAACACCCTATATATTTTTGCATATTCTTGTAGCATACCTCGAGAGCTTTCCAAAACACTGTAATAAGATATTTTTTTATCAAGAACTTTTTGAGTTGTAAAGCTGAAACATTTTTGTCTTAAACTTACGGATTTTAAGAAATTTCAGTGCTTAGATTAAAATGACCTACCCTGTATATTTAGAATCTTGTAGTACTGAAAACTTGTCGAAAATTGAAGTGGTCGTTTATAAGTATGAGATAAGTACTTCAACAAAATTAAGTTATGCAATTGCATTATAATAAAGTAATAATATTACGTTTTTCACTTGTATCTTCTTCTTCATTGTGGAGATTTGTATCTTTCGCATCCGCCTCAGCGTTTGTCTCAGTTGCGTCTCCCTGCTGCATCGTGGCATATATACTATCCTTGAACGGCACTAGAGACTCCTGTTCAAGGCGATTTATCTTGCAGGACTGAATCAGCCAAGAAACCAGGTAATGATGATGGATATAGCGTGGTTTGATGACGCCAGAGCGAAAAAATATATGATTATCTGTTAAAAGCGAAATGACCTTGTACAAATCCTCTCCTTGCTCAGCAAAGAACATATCCTGGACAAGAGAAGAAAAAGCAATGATTGTATGAAACAAAAAAGATACAATTGAGTTAGCAATATATTTGTAGGAAAAGTGTGAATTTTTTAAATCCGAAAATTAGCCGCTAATAGACAGGAGAAAGGCAACGACAAAATTGCTCTTTCCATGAAGGACAAATTACCAGTAATTCTTCCGAGCAAGCGCCGATTTCTTTCTTCTCCTGGACGAACTCGTACACCGCGTCGACGTATTTCCTGTTGACTGTTACTTCCTTCTTTTTGGATTCAATCACGTTCTTCTTGTAGTTTGTGTAAGAGAGAACGGTCTTTGGAAAAGTGGCAGCCCGATTTAATTCGCCGAGATTTACAGTCTCGATCTTCAACGGCACTAATTGGCTAATTTCGCTCGAATTTTTCGCCTTGTCAGAATTGAAGTAACTCGTTTCAGGTAATATGTTCCTAATAATCTCGCTGACACGTCGAGGAATCGAAGTCACATTGGTCATATCGTTCGGCATTGTCGAAGAAGCTGGCCATTAAAACAATATATTTATATCATTTTAATCAATTATAAAATCTGGTTGGAAATCACAGTATAATCTGATGTTACATATAAACTGCATACACGCACAGAATACTTTACTCATTTATTAAATACCGAAAAATTATCAGACATGCTAGAAACGAATATTGAAAATAATAAAAAACAACAATAATTCAATTATACATGTTACAATAGAAGATAATAATTTTTTCTATAGAGATAACAGTTTTATTATCATATACCTTCTTCTTTTATCTGCTCCCTTAATTCATTCATCAATGTAAGAGACTTGGAGCTATCCGGAAGTACTTTTACGGTGCATTCTCGAGAAGCTTCGCACAATTCCTCCTCGAAGAATTTCGATTCCTCGCTTTCTTCCAAGTCCTCGAGTTCCATCGAGTCCTCGAAGCTTAGTCTTGCTCTCTTCGAGAATGGCTCTTCGTAGTCCATGGAATCCTCTTCAATATTGGCAGATTTCTTTCTTGATACACGAGTTTTCCTTCCACTTTGTTCGTGAGGACGATTCTTCGAATACGTCTCTTTGCGCTTGTCGCTTTCGTAAAGCGATAGCTTCCCCTCGAGCAATGTATCTTTATTTTGCTGAGCTTGGCTCTTTTGTTTTCTTCCGACACCCTTGCCGGTGCGAACGGGTTTTTGCGCTATCAAATTTGTCTTTATGCTATTATAAAACGACGTAGCTCTGGCATCAGCTGCAATTAGCTCCATAGACGTGAGCGAAACGTCGAGCTTCGCTTTCTGCTCCTTGGCGCTGATATCGGGCTTGCTGGTCTTCGTTAATAAAGATTTCGACGTAAGTCTGTACTTTGATCGAAATTTGGACAATTTATATTTACGCAAGATTCTATTAACAACATAAAACAAATTCTTCAATTCCGTTTCCTTTCTAGCACAATTTGCATCGACACATTTATTTTCCTCTTTACTTTTGTCTATATTAAGGACCGTATTAGTTTCCATCTTATCAACGTTATGATCAAAACAGAGTTGTCGTTGATTCGTCTGGTCGTCTTCGGGGACCGCGGGATGCTGTTCGTTTTCCGTTTGCAAGGTCGCTTCATTCTTGCTGGTCAGTTTCTTGGTGAGTTCCTTGATCTTGTGCACTTCTTTGTTAAACTGCTTACTCATTGTGCTGTTCTTCTCGAATTTCTTCGCGACATACTTTGTAATCAGCTGCCGGCCTATGTCGTTCATGTACGTTGCGATGTTACCCGCTTTTACCATATTCCTCAGAAATGACCTGGATTCTGATTTGGTGATAACCATCTTGTGTTCCAACTCAGCTAAAAAGATATATAATAATTCAAACTAACTCAACTTCTATTCGTTTAATTTAAAAACTATGTAACTGACACATTAATTTTGCGATATTACAATAATTTGAATGAAACTTTAGATGTTAAAGAACACTTTAAAATTACCAAAATCGAGGATTTACTACTAACCTTGAGATATACCTTCGAATCGACTGGCCTCAATGATAGAGTATGCTTGTTTGAGACAAGGAACTTCAAACTTTTGATCAGACACATTCAACTCAATGATGTCTTCATCGTCATCTTTCTCCTCCTTATTCCACATATCATTAATGTTGGCATCCGGATACACCAACTGCACGACTCTGATGTTTTTCTCCTTCGAAGGGTCCTTCTTCTGCCGCCACTCGTTGGGCTCGGCATTGGGATACAAAGTTCTATACGGCACGCAGATGCCCGTTATCACGATCTTTTGAAAGTAAGCAGATCGAAACAGTTTCTTGATAGCGTTCTCGTTTCCGAGTTTCTTCTTAATCTCGTCGTACTCGGCCGCGCCGTCCTTCTTGGATCGTAGAATGTCGAGCACCTGCTCCGCCAGGTAGAGCATCTTTGGCTTTCGTTCCACGTAGAAGCGGGGCAGATGCAAGAGGCCACCACCGCTGCCACGGTAGCCGGCGCTCTGCTGATGGCCCTGCTTCGTAATAAGCTTGTGATGCAGCAGAAACTTTAGATGATAGAACAGAGTTTTCCGGTCCTTCTTGAGCGCAGCCAAACTGAGCTTGCCTTGAGTGACCTCGCCGTGGTAACGAGCTCGACCCACTCTCTCCAAGAAGCAGTAATGCATGATCGTCAGCTTCAACGTTGGACTCACGTCGTGGCCCATCAAAGCTCGTGTCCTAATTGACTGGGCTGCCACGATCACCAGACTGAGCCCATACCTCTCTGTCACCTCGTCCAGGCTTGCATTCTTCACTTCGTCTTTGATGTCTTTCCTTGTATTATATGTGGCACAAGATCCCCTTATACCTGTCTTGGGATCTTGGATAGGACAGTGAGGATAAATATCTGGCGGGACGCTCGACTGAAGTCAGACATGTGAAAGGAATACGAACGAGAATTTAAGTAAACAGAAGTTAAGTTTGAAAGAATGGAATTGAAGTATCGAGAAGTCAAATTATTCGTAATTGCAAAACCTAAGCTTCTTACCCATACAGCACAGATGGTTGCAGTTACATCGCAGAAACGTTGCGATCTTGCAGATTGCAGTGCAATCTTGCAGAGACATTGCAAGGGTATAAAATTGCAAACTTTCGATAGCAATATTGCAGCAATGTTTCGAAAATAATGAAAATACTATATTTTCTATTTAAAAAAGGTTTCTAATTACGAGAATTTTATAATGTTATTTTCGTCGATACCAATAATGCGCGAATTATTAAGTATTTGATCAGTGCGGTGTTGCTCGCAATCTCCATCTATTGCGAAGCGACATAATCTCCTTAGGTTGCTTCGCACTAGCTTGCTGTGTATTGAAAAAGGCCCGGATGCATATGTAATTAGTAAATTCTCCGCTTATGTACAACAACAAATTATTCCAATAATATTGCGCTGCAACATTGCTATAATGTTGCACTGCAATCTCTCTGAGGGCGGACATTCCAACGTTGCTGCAATCCTCCAGAAACGTTGCAGCAATGTTGCGCAACGTTGCTGCAATATTGCAATCTTGCAATGTAACATTTCTGCAATCTTTCCGTGCTGTGTGGGTAATAACGTGACAAACAGTTAAATTGTTCACAAAGCTCTATGCAAAGAATTTCAGAGAAAGTCGTGCATGCATCAATAATATATTAATATTCTCACCGGTTCTTGTATAGTGCCAAGATCGTCATTTACGTACTCGTAACGATCGAATATCACAAGCGGTTCTCTGGGCGTCTCCAATTGGTAAAACTGAAGGTCCTTTACCTTCCTGCATATTAACCATACCTGTTCCATGAACGGCTTGGGGAACGGTAGCGGATTATTGAGTCCGTTTGATAGTCGCAGCCACAAAGCTAAAGGTGAGAAGTAAAAATATGTAAAAATTCAAAGCATTCATAACGAACAGAGGAAATCATTAAATTGACTTGAAATTCAATTATATTATTCAACTATTAAAAATAGAGAACTAAACCGGCGCGATGTGTACCTGAAGGTAAACATCAATTAAAAACTCTGTAAAATAAAATAAAAAGTAGATAAACTGTTATGGCAGTCTATGTAATATTTTACATATTAGATTGTGCAAAATTGGTGTCGACTAATTTATTTGTGACAAAAGTAAGATTAAATAACCTTGTAAAGTAATGCCGTCTAATCCCTCCAAGGCAACCTCGTCGATGATCGACTCCACTAAATTACACGACGCCATGCTTCGGTAAGAACAGCGATAAACCTCAAAGTAATAAATAAAATAGCCGCTTCTCTAGCAATTTTAAACGAGCAACAATTATGGCTTCTGCCCACTGGACGCGGTAACGTTGCCGCGCGGCGGAACTTGGCTAGGGAAACCAGCACTGGCCAATCCACATCCGAGCGCACGAGACGTTGATTGGCTAGTGCTGGTTTCCCTAGCCAAGTTCCGCCGCGCACAGTTTCAAATTTCAAAGCAACATTTCTGGTGAACGCAGCCATTTTGAAATCTCTAGAGATTTATGTAGCCAATCAACATGCTTGAAAAATTTATCAGACGACTAGTAAAACAATATCCCTAGAATTCTCCCATTTCTATCTTGGAACTAGAATATACCGAGGTAAGATCGAGGTTATAGCGTTATAGCATGTAAAATCAGTAATTATAATATAATTCTCTTTACATTTTACCTGTGATTCGATTGAAATTAATCTTAGATTTCAGAGTATTTCGTATTTCCAAAAGAGATCTGTAGTCAAACATGGAGAACCGTTCCATCTCGAAGAAGAGGAAGGTTAGTATTTTCAAAAATTTGTAATAAATATAGAATGTGTAATAAATATATGTAAGACTGTCCTTGTCGCGACGCTCAACGCTTTTAGAATAATACGCCTTCGAAAATTAGTGGATACCGCAACGTGAATCGTGAATAAATATGTTTTCATCGTCGTTCTCGTTTACACGTTGATCTTACGGTTCCACGTGTCTCGTAAAATTATTTAAAATTTATTTAGTTTAGCGAGAACGGTGCATTTTTATGACTTCCACAACGTTTCTTTGTTATTCAAGCTCGAATTATATGCAATAAGGTTGAAAAGTAAAATTTTTGGTGTCGCCATTGTTCACTCTTTTCTTTTTGCCGTTAGTTTGTGGGAGACGGCGTATTCAGGGCCGAGCTGAACGAGTTCCTGACGCGCGAGCTCGCCGAGGACGGCTACTCGGGCGTGGAGGTCCGCGTTACGCCGAACCGGACGGAAATCATTTTACTGGCCACCCACACGCAGAGCGTGCTCGGCGAGAAGGGCCGCAGGATCAGGGAGCTCACGTCTGTGGTGCAGAAACGTTTCAACTTCAAAGACCAGAATGTCGAGTTGTACGCCGAGAAGGTCGCCACGCGTGGTTTGTGCGCCATCGCACAGGCAGAGTCCCTTAGGTACAAACTGATCGGAGGTCTCGCTGTGCGAAGGTAAACCAATCGGAGCTTTGTTAATCCTGATCGTATCCCATGCCGTTTCCGAGAGTCTCATTCTGAATTGTCATCAGGGCGTGTTACGGAGTCCTGCGTTTCATCATGGAGTCAGGGGCCAAGGGCTGCGAGGTGGTCGTCAGCGGTAAACTACGTGGTCAGAGAGCGAAATCCATGAAATTTGTTGACGGACTCATGATACATTCGGGCGAACCGACCAATGAATACGTCAATACCGCCACCCGGCACGTGCTTCTACGGCAAGGTAAGATTGCACTGCTGTGGTCCGCTTCTTAATTACCCAGGAAACAATGGGAAAAATCTCATACATAGAGGAACATCCTCTATTATGGGATAGGCTTTTAATATGAGAGAGCGGTGTTTCTACTAAATTAATAGACTTCAGCTGTTGATTCCATCGCGAATTTATTGTACTTGGAGTGAAATATCTGTTTAGTGGAAAATTCATTGTTAGATCGTGTAATCATTGCGAGAAAAGATTTGTGATTAAATTTGGATGCTGAAAATCTGCTGTCTCATATTAGAAACCTATCTCATAATACGGGACTTTCCTCTGTATGTCTCAATATCTAATTGTATCTCATGAGATCTAATTTTTAATTCATCGGATCTTGAGACATTTGACACTTTTCTTGAAAGTTCGAGATTAAATCTATTGAAATCTAACTAGAATTAAATGCCCAGTAGGACATTTAATTAGATCTCAATAAATACACGCTTGAATATTGAGATTAAGATAAGATCTCTAAAGATCTGATGATTTTAGAATTGGATCACATGAGATATAATTATTGCATGATTGAAACGTTATAGAATGAGATTTTTTCCATTTTTTTTTCCCAGGTAATGTGCTCGTAAAAACTTGATTGTCGGTTTGTACACGCAGTTTGTGACATACGAAGATTTTATAAGATATGTGTCTATATTGTATCTTTATTCGCAATGTATATTTTAGGGGTGTTGGGAATCAAGGTTAAAATCATGCTTCCGTGGGACCCGAACGGCAAGAGCGGCCCGAAGAAGCCTCTCCCGGATTATGTATCCATCGTGGAACCGAAGGAAGAGGTGGCCCCGTCCGTGCCGATTTCCGAGGTGAAGCCGTCCAGAGACATGCCTCAACCCGCTCCTCTCGCCGTGTAACTCATTATTTGAAATACATTTAAAAGAAAACACGAAACAGGTGTGTTTTACTTTCAAAAACAGATCTTTCGCCCGGGTGTATTTTAACTTCCTTACACCAAGAGCCAAAAGTTATACAATCCTCTCTTTACTCCTTACGCCAGGTCCACTCCCCACGCATTGTGGACGCATGACAATTGACAAAATTGTCCCAGGCCTCGAGAATAAAACTGATCATTCCGCGCGATACGGAATCGTAAAGACCGCGTGCGCGCCAGCGACAGCCTCCGTGGACGGCTCACGCTCTCGCCCCACGTGACCGCCGGAACGAAATTCCCCTAGACGCGCCGCGCAGTGTTTTCAATCGCCGCAATTACCACGGAATGTGGTAGCCCGGCTGCTCGGAGCCTCTGCCAGACGGAGGGGGTGGGAATAATAAAACGTTAGGCGTGTCGGCGTCCGTCTTTTTTACGCGACGCGACCGCGGCGCCGAGAGTCGCGCGTTCCCGCTCCAGGTATCGTTGTCCAGCTTCTTTCCCCCCCTCCCTTCTTTACCCCCTGGCTGCGGGTGCGGGGTCGTCTCGAGCGGAGTCGGCGGAATGTCGAGGGTGCACGTGACCGGGACGCCGCGACGCCGCCGCGGCGAGAGCGCCTGGACCGTGGACGCGCGGCGATAGCGTAACCTACGACGAGACGAAGCGGCCGGGTGGACTCCGGGGAGGCGTGCGAGGACCGGCTGCGCGTCACCGATACATGTGTCCGCCGTTCGTTCGCGCGCGAGGGTGGGTATGCTCTTATGGGGTAGCGAGCGGGCGGTAGCCTTTGTCGTGGAATGGAGACGGAGAGCGTGAAGTCCGGGGCTAGCGAGCATAGCCATAGCCACCACAGCAGGAGCTCCCAGAAGCATCACCGCTCCCACAGCTCGAAGCAGCATCACAGGCAGCACTCTCACCGCACCGCTAGGTACGCCCGACCGTCGAGAGCTAATTTTAATGTCGCACTTGAACCAACACGTCCCCTTGTCTCGCTCGCGTCTCGGCCGTCGGCTTACCCTCGCGTAGCTCTACTTATACGGCGAGCGCGTAGCGAGTTCCCGGTTAATTTTACAATCGACGACCTGGTCGCGCGTCCTCGGAAAGCTTCGACGATCCTGCGAGTGTACGTCCCTCCTTTGCGATTATGGAATTGAGTTGCTCCGTCGGTGCTGAAATCACCAATTGTCCGGGAAAGCGTGTCTTGCGATTTCTCTACTTTTTGTATTAATCTTCCGTGACCTTTCGTACGGCAGGAACAATCGAAGTCAGAAGAAGGAGAGGCAGAACTTGGACACCAGCGAAATGGCTCCGTTTCAAACGACGGTGAACGTGCGGGGTGACAGCGTGGATAACTTGGGCCAGGAGGTGATCGAGGTGCAGATACTGCCGCAGGATGAGAATTGGGGCGAGAACACCACGGCCGTCACCGGCAACACCTCGGACAGGTCGGAGTCGACCGAGGACGTTAGCCACTGGCCGAACGAGACCGACGGCACGTTCGGCTCCGGCTGCAACCGCTACGTCGGCCCGATCGTCGCGATGATACTCGGGATATGCGCCTTCCTCAGCCCTATAGCCATGGTTATTCTGCCGAAACTGGGATTCTTTCCCGACTCGACGACGGTACTGACGATGCAGCAGAAATTGCACATGCTGTCGTGCAACGCCGAGTGCAAGGGCGAGCTGCTGGGCCTGGCCTTCAAACTGGTGCTACTGGTCATCGGTAGCTGGGCGGTGTTCCTGCGCCCGCGCGCCGCTACCATGCCGCGCATATTTTTATTCAAGGCGGGAGTGTTGCTGCTCACCACACTGTGCATTTGTACTTATTGGCTTTTCTACGTTGTACAGGTAACGATCCTGGGCGCGATTTGCCCAACTATCTCTCTTTCTCCCTCTGCGCGTATGTGTATGTGCGCGCGAATGTACGTACCGTTGTTGAAATACCCGATACGTTTCAGGTCACCGAGAGTGCTAAGACTGTTGCCAATGGCGAAATAACAGAGTACAAAAGTTTAGTAAATTACGCAGGTACCCTTGCCAATACGCTCCTGTTTATACACTACACCGCAGTGCTCCTTATCGAAGTTCGTCATCTGCAGCCTACGTTTTATCTTAAGGTGGGCGAATGTTCTTACTGTCGCTAATGACGTCGGATCGTAACGCGCACTTTGGATTTACAAACGGTATTCTCGTTTGCAGGTCGTTAGGTCGCCAGACGGTGAATCGAGATCTTACGCGATCGGCCAGTTATCGATACAGAGAGCAGCCGTATGGGTTCTAGAAAGATACTACACCGAGTTTCCGATTTACAATCCGTACTTGGAAAGGTTGCCGGTCTCCAAGTCCGGTAGGAAGCAGTCGAGCTTCAAGTTCTACGAGGTCGACGGCGGGGTGACCGGCGGTATGCAGTCGCGCGGCGGCAGCGGCGACCGTGCGGTCCTGGCGGCGCAGGCGCGTCGCCGCGACTCGAGTCACAACGAGCGCTTCTACGAGGAGCACGACTACGAGCGACGAGTGCGGAAGCGCCGCGCGAGACTCATCACCGCCGCCGAGGAGGCGTTCGCGCATATCAAACGTTTGCATTCCGAGGTAGACTCCACGCCGAACCCCGGGCCGATGGATCCCATGGAGGCCGCGCAGGCGGTCTTCCCCTCCATGGCGAGAGCTTTGCAGAAGTACTTGAGAATCACTCGGCAACAGCCGCGTCATTCGGTAGAATCTATTTTGAACCGTCTCGCTCGGTGTTTGGCACAAGATGCGGCGCCGCGCGCCTTCTTGGAGCCGTTCTTCGCTACGAGCCCGGTGCTGTCCAACGAGAAGGAGCGGCAAAAGCGATCGCATCACTGGGCCTTGGTGTGCGAAGGGGAGCTACCCTCTCGCCCGATCGCGAACGGTTGTGAGTTTCAGTTGAGACAGGGCGAAGTGGCGCTCTTGTGTACGGCGCATAGATTACCGCACTTCAATCTCACCGAACAATTGGCACATCCCAAGTCCAACAAATTTCTTCTGCGATTGAACTCGGAAACTTCCGTTTAAGGTACTTGATGAGGTTCCGTGATAGAATCCAGATTTTTATCCTCATGTTTATGAAATTGAACGCAACTTCCAGATACCCCAAAGGTATGCTTGAACTGAATTTTAGCGCAAATGATGTTTTAATCGAGATTACGTTTAATGTAAAGTCTTTCCTGTGACGAGAGTACCGTTAGAGACTTTATTTTACGCTGGAAACTTGATGTGATAGCTATGAGATCTTGCCTCGCGCGGAAAACCATTTTTAAACCATTATTTCGATTGAATCTTATTTGCGCAAAAAATTCTTCGAAAGTTTCACAAGGCGCTAAGTCTTTTTAGAATATTATCTAAAACTTCTGTTCTACAACGGAAACGTGCACTGTTGTACAACAGTGTAATAGTATTTAGACAACAAGATAGACTGAGAGAAGCACAGCAGTTAGGAGAATAACTCGCCATTGCTTTCTTGAAAACGTTCATGACATTATTTTCTCTTTTTGAGGAAGAGCCACAATGACATTAATAAGCGATCCGTACTTCTGAACATACCTTCAAGTAATTATTACAGAGTAATAATTAGTTTGTGTAGCATAAAATGCTCGGTTTTTTTTTCTTAATCCTTAAAACATGCGTACGCACGTACATATATTTATTTATTTCGTCCTATTGCATATCATGATTTGTATATATGTACACCTTAAATATATCTAACTGGATTTTTAATGTGTGTATATATACACACATACTTATTTTGAGGCAAAATGTAGGCTAATTTTAGAACGGTGGTTCGCGCCTGATGGTCAACCATACGATAAGTGTCGGGTCCATTGGGATTCTTAATATAATTTCATCACGTATTCCTTACGTATTTTACATTTTTACGTATTCCTCAATAAGTATATGGGTTAAACGTTTTCTCCCTTATTACGTATATACATTTTTTTCCTCAAAAATAATATTCGTATATTATGATTTGAGCGAAAACAAAGCATAAATTAAATAAGCGACATTTATTCTGTAGATCAAGAACGGACAGTATTTTTTATCTACTGCATTGCAAGTGTATTTTTTAGACATTTCTGACATAGTTTGACGATTCCGAACAAATCCGACAGCTTATGGAGGAGGGTTTGAACACGAACGAGTAAATACTCGTATTGATATTTACATTAATACGCATTCCTAAGTTTGTAAACCGTATTTGTAGTATCGTATTTACACGAGGGAGATATGCTTTAAATATATACAATTTCATACGTATGTGTTCATACGCATATGCGCACATATAGCAGCACACACGCGATTCATATATTTCATTGTTAAGGGAAAGATATGAAACTCTCATATCTTGGTATCCTGTGTTTTCTGCAATGTAACGGTACGCACAGTAAATATACTCGATATTTATATAGCCCCTTTTGTACTTTAACGGTTTTGATATTATTTTTACTCTGATATAGCGTTTATTAAGTACACACGAATGGTGAATGACGATAGATGATAGAAAATTTCAATACAATCCTCTGTTAAGTTTGTCCTCCTCAATTTTCATTATACTTGACCTACTTAATTTCTGCGTTGTGATTAGATAAGAATTATGCTTTATTGATAACTTATATATCTGTATACATGCTGCATGCGATTAAATTACCTTTTTCTTTATTTACTCTTAAATGTTTGTTAGTAATACAGAAAAAAGCATCGTGGGTGCTGTACAGATGAAATTTGGAAACAATTTTCTACTAGTCAACGTTTCTTTACCGGACTGTTTAATTGCAATTTTCCGTCTTCCTACAAAATCTGTAGTCACAGTAATGATTATGCGAAACAAACATTTACGAGTAAACTGAAATTAATTTTAAACACGAGTGGTTAAATATGGATTATATTATACGTAATCGTATAGTTTAATAATTAAATCTCATTAATTACATATCTCTTTGCGCAAATCTCCAGGTGGATTTAAGCGCATTCTTCCATATTATTTGAGAACAAGACACAAATTTACGTATCTTGGAATTTGTATATAGCAAACAAAATTCTATGATTGGATATTATATGTATATATTCGTACAAATCTCTTATCTTTGGATAAACATTGAATACGCTAGCTTAAATTACAAGCCCAATATGAGAGACGCGAGATTTTTATATCGAAATAATTAATATTGTTGAATTTCTTTATCGCATTCCGAGATTATATGTCTTCAGCGTCGTAATGAGATTAATGAAAGATGTAAAAGCGTAAGTTTCCTAGGAGGACATGAGCTTTCCAAGAAAGCATTACAGTTTGTAATAAGCACACGTATCTTTATGCTTGTATAATTTTTCGTTGTACGCTTCGCTACATTTGCAAATTATATAAAATAAAAGTAAATAGCAACACCTGGAATTTTTTAGGTTGCGTTAGTTCGAAGAGACTTAAGAAATATTGAGATTGAGGAGACCGAGAGCAACTTCTTTGTAACGTGAAATTATTATCAGTACTCGTATGTATTTTTTCCACCGAGCTTTTGCTAAGGATGTCTTTTTATGTTATTTATGTGTGCTCGTGATGACTGTGTACTATTTGAAAGATGAAATATACATTTGATGTATAAAAACAAGTCTTTTTCTTTTCCTTTCTTCTATGAAAATTCCTTCCTTCCAAATAAAATTTCCAAATAAAAATTTGTTACGCGTCCAGTTTAAGTATTAAATATTACAGCGAACAATAAGTTATGTTAATAAGAAAACATTTAGGAAATAAAATATATATTGAAATTGGAATTTATTTGAAAGATTGATCAAAGAATTAAGCAGAGTTGGGAAAGTTACTTTATAAAAGTATCGAATTACAGTTACAGTTTTTCGCTAGAAATGTAACTTACAGTTACAGTTACTTTGCAGTTACTTTCTTGCAATGAAAGTAAAAATATCAAATCTGCATTTGAATTGTAAAGCATCGATAAAGGTGTTTATGCACAAATGCAAGACCTAATGCAGTCTATGGAGATTTAAAGAATATATAAAGTATTAATGTAACTATTAAATTATTTACTAGTTATCGAGAAAATGTAACTGAGTTAAGTTGCAGTTACAGACGGAGAGAAAGTATCAAAGTTAAGTTAGAGTTTTCAAAACAAAAAAATAATTATAACTGTAATTTCCGAGGGGGAAAACCGCTGAGGGCATTGTGGTGTACAGATTTGCGGCATTACTAGGCATTTTTTGGGCATTACCCATACAGCACAAACCTTGCAGTTACATTGCAGCTACATTACAGCAATGTTGCAATATTGTAGCAATGTTATTGCAAGTTTTGTGCTGTACGGGTAGTTTGGGCATTAGGCCTTGCTGGGGCGTTATAAAAGTAAAATAAGACAAAACAAGATAAAATAAAGTGATGCCCACTGGGCATTAGTGGGCATTGCTGTACAAGATTTTGAATAGCGGTTTGCCCTTCGGTAATTTCGTTACAAGTAATGAGTTACTTCCCAACCCTGGAATTAAGCGTACGTAATAAAAAATTACTACTTATGCTTGAGAGCACATGTGATAAGATAAAAATTTAAAATATAGAAAACTAGAACAAAGATAAAGATTGTAATTTATGAAAAATATAACCAGTGGAAATAAATGTGCAGGTTGAAATAAAATTGGTTTTGGGAAAAATCCAAAATGCGTTGTTAATTAATCGAACCGAGAGACAAATCCGGATAAAGACTTCATTTACGTGTGCATAATATTTATCGCAAATATGGAAAACGTCAAACGTATATAACATTTAGACAAGTGTTCTATCATATCATTTCACACCTACATAACTGTTTTGTGTAGAAAATTCATGAACGCATCATTAATGTGCAATCATGTAGTGGTGTTAATGTCTTATCTTATCACTATAATCTTGCCATGACTATATTAATGAGATTTTGCACACAGTGTTTTTCTGTGAAAGAAGTTCTACGGACTCCCTTTGAATCGGATTGTAAAATTTCAGTGAAGAGGTGCCATTCGCTTCTTCGAAACTTTCAACACCATGCAGACATATTGCTTTATGTAAGTTATGAAATTTTATCTTAATTAAATATATAATAATTACTTTTAATATAATAATCCATTAAGCACGTAAATATGTATCTTTAATGACAAATCGTAGTATTTAATTTTGTGATATTCATTTCATCTATAAAAAATATAAAATATATCTTACAATATTAATCTATTTACATAAATAAAAATGTCATATTTGCATAAGTTAAAATGCTAAAATATATACAACTTTTATTATAGAATTAGTTCAAAAAATTGTAGCGTGACTGCTATTATTATATATGTTCTTTGTAACTGTACTATGTTATACTGTCCGCAAGAGAATTAAACAATATAATTAAATGAAGACAGCGAAGAAGGAAAAATAAAAGGTACAAAAGTTCAGCTGCAAAAATGATCAAATAAAATACACACGTTCTGATAACAATTGATGACAATCCCCTATTATTATCGGTTAATTGTTTTGTTTCTTAAAAAATTTTACAGAGCTTTTTTGATAGCGGCAACGTGTTCGCACGTAGCGTTCGCGGCTCCGAGCAGTAATGATGATACAAACCCGGACTACAAATTATGCGCTACGCAAGATTGCAAATACGAAGGTATGTGTTTTATTTGTCTTCTCCTCTTCCCGGGAACAAATGGACAAAAATGTCATTATATATGTCTCAATCATGTAATACCTACTTATATCTCATGAGATTCAATTTAAAAAATCATCAGATCCTCAGAGATTTGACACTTTACTTGAATGCTCGACGTTATCTATTGAGATCGAACTAAATTTATAATTAATGTCCTAAGAGAACATAATTAGATCTCAATAGATAATAACATTGATTATTCAATAAAAGTGTCGGGTCTCTGAAGATCTGATGGTTTTTAAATTGGATATAATTATAATAGATATTACAAAATTGAGATATATAATGAGATATCTCCATTTTTTCCCGGATTATTACTTCATCGATTATTCCGTGTGTGTAAATTATCATTTGTACGATGACCATTACATAAAAACAATCTTATTATGTTGTTTAGCGTCGAGGATCTCGGACTATATCGACCGTACAGTCGAACCTTGCGACAATTTTTACAAATTTGCTTGTGGCGGATGGATACAAAATAATCCGGCAAACATGTCGTACCCAAGAATTAGCACGCTGTCGATTCTCAGCCAGAAAACTTCAAGAAAAATTAAAGGTACGGTACCGTTTAAACGCGAGTTATTGGAGATACTAGTCTTGACGGATTCATATAAAACACAATATTTTAATTATTAATTCGATTCTTATATGTTGCAACGTTTACGAAAAAAAATCTAACCCGTGTAATCGTTCCTTTATCGTTTGCAGAGATCTTGGAAGATGCTCCCGGATCGGACGACACGCTTTCCTTGAAAAAAGCGAGGAAGATGTACAGCATGTGCATGGATAACGGTATGTACGATCGCGTATGTAAACAGTATATCATCTGAAACGAGTACTTTTTAAATTTGAGTATCGGAAATTCAGAAGAAAAGAGGAGAATAAACCGTTCCCTTGGCTTTCAGAGGAACTTAAGAAGATCGGAATCAGTGCTCTTAGCAAAGTTGTGAAGAAGAACGGCGGATGGCCAATGACTATGTCCCCTAGGGAGTGGAAACGTAAAGGATACAAAACGTGGCAACAAGTTAGCGACGTTTTGCAGAATAATATGTTTGACAATGGGCTTTACGAGATACTGGTGTCAGTTGATGAAAAAAAATCTGATACCAACGTCATTACCGTATGTATTATTCATGCTCTAAATATGTTTAAAGCACGTTGTTATATTATAAAATCATATGCGAACACTTCGCAACAATAAATGTTTCCGTTCGTTGAATAAAAATAATCGAGAGTGTATTGATGGATTTATATAAAACAAAATATTTTAATTATAAATGTGATTGTTATATGCTGCAATTTTTACGAACTCGTGTGATCGTTCCTTTATCGTGTTTGCGAGCTGACGAAGATGAGTCTTACGTAGAATCCGTGTTTTTCAGATCATGGAACCTGACTTCTACGCCCCACGCGACATTCTGATCAGCTTCGAAACCGACCTTGTGCAGAAGATGTCCTACAAGTCCTACATCGAGAATGTTGCGGATATCTTTGTGGAAGACAGAGGCGCGTACATAAAACAGGACGCTATCAGTCAGGATGCGCTTGACGTCGTGAATTTCGAGATTGAACTGGCTAAGGTTGCTATTGAAATCACCGTGTATTGACATTCGAATTTTCTCACTAGTCTTGTTTCGGAATTGCAACGACAAATTTCAAATTCTTTTTAAGATTATTTCTTTTCAAAGTTTACTTTTTCATTCCCTCCTTTACACTTAATATTTTCATATTATAAAATTATCTTTATGTTGCATTTTATTTTAATACATAAGCGGAATCCATTTTAATCCGTTTATTTAATATAGAAACGGCGGGAATCGATTGTATTAATTTGTTGTTCCATTTTGCTTAAATATTCACAGCTAACGTTGAACCTCGAAGATAGCAGAGATATCGATAAAATCTATAATCCGTTAACAATCAAAGAATTGCAACAGGCGTACGATGCGCAACGTCCCAAAAAGAGCAAGGTCGGTTGGAACTTAATATTCTATACATTTGTCATGCTAATTATATATTATTTACGTAATTTAAATTTGTACATCACAGATAAACTGGCTTCAATACATTCAAAAACTGTTTGCACCAGAAAAAATTACGATCAAGTCATCTGAGAAGCTTATCGTTCAAGCGTACAAGTATCTCACCTCTTTGGTTCCTTTACTGGAACGAACGCCCAGTCGTACAATCAGTAAGATTTTCGCAATGTTCTTTGGCAAACGTGTATGAAAAAAATCACGAATTTTTAAATAAAAAATGTTTTACTCTTATACAATTTAATTGCAGTAAACTACATGCAATGGAACCTTATCAGAACTCTGTTGCCTTACACCGAACGTACAGAGGAGATCGCTGTTCAACTTGCCGCTCAGTTCAAAAATGAGAGTCCGGAACTCGCGAGGTACAATTTTTACTATTGTTCCCATCATAATTATTACGATCTTTATTAACGGCAAAGAGACTCCTTTGTAACGAGATAAGTTTAAGATTCTATGATTTTTAGAAATAAGAAGTTATATTCGTTATAAATATTACATTTTATCATTTATCTATAGTTAGACAGTGTTTTTAACAATGTATTTAAATTCTCTTCTTCGATTTATACTGCTACTGTTATATAAATCCTCCTTAGAGGAACATAAAGAAAGCCGATGTTAATTAAGTGAACTTTATTAAGGTGGAAGAGTTGCTTGCAGAAGGATGCCAATTTACATACGGCAATTTCACAAGAGTATGCCAAGAGACACGTACAGCTCGATAATAAAGAAGACGTGAGTAGTATATTAAAAGAAATAAGAAATATAAATATGAATAAAACCGATCGAATTCAACCTGGTGTATCTGTCGAATTGTGTCAAATTAAAAATCAGAATTATCTGAATTAAACTATTCACTTTAGATCAGCGATATGGTCACGGACATTGCAAACGTTGTTCGTGAACAAATCACAGCATCCACTTGGATGGATGAGCCTACGAAGAAGGTATCTCTTGAGAAATTACAAACAATGAAGAAGCAACTGCTTATCCCCGATTGGTTCAACAACGAAGCAATTGATAAATATTACGATGGCGTAAGTATGCTAGTGTAGATGATTATTTATAAGCGCGTAGACAGTGAATAAAAAAGTGTTGGACACATCTCATTCTCTTTTGGATAATTTTTCTACAAAGTTGTTATTACTATAAGCATGTTATTCTCTCTCG